GGGTCCTTGCTGCTCTCTGAGCTTGGTTGTTTTCTTGCAGTTGTTTCATTACCCAAACTAGGTAACATCATTAGTATTGATGATAATACCTAGTTTGGGTAATGAAACGTTTGCAAGAAAACAACCAAGCTCAGGGAGCAACAAGGACCCCTCATGAAGAAACATTTCCCAACCAAATCTTTTCAAGATCTTTTGCAATGCTAACACAGCAGGGCATCAGGATGAAGAAGACAGCTCTTAGTTTGGCAGGTTTTGAAAAGTAAAGTAGATTTGGACCCAAATAGTACCTGGATGAGAAATAAGCAGGAAATTCTAGGCCTCTAGGCCAGAAACTATCCGGAGGAGGGGAAAAACATGAAATGCAATTGGGTCCTGATATTGCCCCATAACATATTTATTTATATGACTTAAATAGACTCTGGAGGATGGTAAAGGACGGGAAGGCTTGGAGGAACATTGTCCGTGGGGTCCCGATGGGTTGGACATGCCTTTGCAACTAACAACAACAACATTTATATGGCCATCCATCCCAAAGCAGTGACTCTTATGCCCAACAAAGGGATGCAAATACATAATGGTAGTATTTATGCTCTAAGACCATTTATTATACAGGTGTCACTTTTTGTCATTATGACAATGCTGTGGGGTAGACCGGAAAATCCAAATAAATCCAAGAAGAAAGCATTGTCAAGTCATCTGCATATTATTGCCAAGATTGTTGTGTGTTTGTGTCTGTGATGTCATCGAGAATTGAGTTCAACTCAGGAGAGATCCGACTTTATCCTTCATAAAAATAGATGTTTTTTTTCCCTAGATCTAGAGCTCTTTAGAAATGTTGCAGTACAATTTTAACGTCCCTTTAAATGGTTGCTATTTTATTCTGTCTGTATACTCAATGTCAAGTTCTGTTTGTTTGCAATTCAAGCCTTGAAATATCCCCATTATTAGTCTTCAGAAAAATCACACCCTAAATGAGGTTCTGCTGAATTCTTACATAAATCAAATATATAGCATGTAGCTGCCCATCTGTTTGCTTGTTTTTAATGCTGCAAGAATTTGGGGGCTCAGTCCTAATAGCATATGGAGTGGGAGGTGCAGTCTGTCCATCCACCCATTTGTTTTGTAGTTTCTCTCTGGAGCTGATTTTTTTTTTTTAAAAAATAAACCATTCTTTCTCCATTGGCATCAATTGAACATGGGTTTTTAAATTTTATTTTAATAGAGGGATTGCAGTTGTAAAATAGGAAGGCTGAAATCTCTTTCTATTTGTGCAAATCTCAAACAGAAGTGAGCCCCCTGCATACTTCGTAGTAACATAAACAAATGGAAGGGCAGCTGCACATGATGGATTTACTGTGTCATACTGTTTTGTCCTGTACACACACACTCTCCAAAATCCGTTTGAAAATCACTCTACTACTTTCTTGTCTCACTGTAGTTCAAATGGCACTTGTCCCATTTGTGCTGGTTCAGCTTATTCCAAGGTTCCCTAGTGCCTAACAAATCTAAGCCTTTATTTCCAACACCACTGTCACATCCCTGCATTGAGACTTCTCTGCATGCAATTTTCTGACTGTATCTGGAAGATAAATCCACTTTGGGTATTGGAGGTGGGGGATGGGAAATGGGTTGATGGGGAAAAAAGAAAGATTCATCCATATTTATCAAACTCCATCACAGATTTGGCAAATCTGCCTGATCACCCCAGCTATATTTTGCATTATTAAATATTCATACAAGCTAGTTGACAGTGTGGAGTTTGTACATTTTTTGCTCCTGAATCATTTATGTACAATCAGTAGAGGCAGGGGCAGCATTTTTCCTTAATATCTCTTCTCTCCCACTCACTATCACGGTAACCATGCAGTCTTTGGACTCCATCATTGTTATTAACTGAATTTGTAGAGCAGAACATTTAATAAGGAATGGCTTTGAAAAGTTTTCAAAACAGAACTGTTGAAAGGCTGAAGAACATTTTAGTAAAGGAGAATTTTCTGGTAAACTCTAAAACAAACCTTCCTTCCTTTCTTTCTTCCTTCCCTCCTTCCTTCCCTCCCTCCCTTCTTTTTCATGCAACTAGTCCTCGACAATTGAGCACAAAATTTGTTGCTCATTTGTTAAGTGAGTTTTGCCCCATTTTATGACTTTTCTTGCCACCATTGCTAAGTGAATCACTGCAGTTGTTAAATTAGTAGCACAGTTAATAAGTGAAGCTGGCTTCTCCATTGACTTTACTTGACAGAAGGTTGCAAAAGGGGACCACATGACCCCCGGACTCTCCCGCCATCAAAAATAGGAGTCAGTTGCCAAGTGTCTCAATTTTGATCACATGACCATGGGGAAGCTGGTCACCACATTATAAAAAAGATGTTGAGACTCTAGAAAGAGTACAGAGAAGAGCAACTGGGATGATTAGGGGATTGGAGACTAAGGCATATGAAGAACGGTTACAGGAACTGGGCATGGTTAATCTAGTGAAGAGAAGGACCAGGGGAGACATGATAGCAGTCTTCCAATATTTGAGGGGCTGCCACAGAGAGGAAGGGGTCAAGCTATTTTCTAAAGCGCCTGTAGGCCAGACAAGGAATAATGGATAGAAACTGAACAGGGAGAGCTTTAACCTGGAAATAAGGAGAAACTTTCTGACAGAACAATCAACCAATGGAACAGCCTGCCCTCGGAAGTTGTGGGAGCATCATCACTTGAGACTTTCAAGAAGAGAATGGACTCCCATCTGTCAGAAATGGTGTAGGGTCTCCTGCTTGGGCAGGGGGTTGGACTATGATCTGCAAGGTCCCTTCCAACTCTGATTATCTATCTGATCATAAGTATGAAAAATAGTCTCATGTCAGTTTTTTCAGTGAAGCTGTAACTTTGAATGGTCACTAAATGAATTGTAAGTCGAAGACTACCTGTACTTATTTTAAGAACTACCTGCTATAGGGATAGAACTATTATCATTCGCATTGTAGACCTCCCAGCTCATTTGTTCCCCAGTCCCAAATAGAAGGTAGACAGAAAAGTGTTAAAGGATTATACTTCAAAGTGGTATTATCCATCACTTGACAGGGGAGTGCCTATTTGTGAGCCTTGGACAGAGAACCACAAGCTATGTAGGTAAAGATGGAATAACCGTATTCCCATTCTTCACCTTTTCTTTCTGAGTATAAAGGGAAAACTCCAATTCTTTCATAAACAACTAACATTTTCTCAAATTAACAGATGGGAATCTGAATTCCTCTCCTTTTGTCCATTTTTGAAGTAGGGTTTGACAGAGTGGCTACCAAACTTCAGCATCTATTGTGGGGCACTGTACCTATAATTATAAATGAGCCACGGTGGTGCACTGGTTAGGGTGCAGTACTGCAGGCTACTTCTGCTGACTACTGGCTGACTGCAATTTGGCAGTTCAAATCTCACCAGACTCAAGGTTGACTCAGCCTTCCATCCTTCTGAGGTGGGTAAAATGAGGACCCAGATTATTGGGGGCAATATGCTGACTCTGTAAACTGCTTAGAGAGGGCTGTAAAGCACTATAAAGTGGTATATAAGTCTAAGTGCTATTGCTATTCCACTATTCCACTTCTGTTTTGCATCTATGCTACATCTCATGGCCAACTAATGCTTTTTTATTCCTGGAGAGAACCTATATTTTCACGCTTAAACATTTTTCTTCTTTTGCTGCTCTCCCAGGTGTGAAGGGGCAGAATCAGGTTCCATTAGATACACTGAAATGGGGACAGGGTGTTTGGGACCTTGGGGAGATGGGGGCTCAGTGAAAAGTAGGCATATTAAACTCAGAAGAAACTTAATGCACCAAGAGTTCAGCTTCAGAATTCTATAAATCAGTGTCTCTCAAATTTGGCAACTTGAAGATGTGTGGACTTCAAGTCACCAAGGTTAAGAAATACTGGTATAAATAGCATACCTTTCATAAGCTGTCAGATCAAAGACATGGATGTTTTTTGTGTCATGCCCTCAGGTATGAATTTTTCCACCTTAAAAAGTGAGGAAATTTTCTCTGTTTTACACAGTGTATACATGGCATTTTTACTTATATATTCAAATTACAGTGCCTTATTTTCATTGCTATTTCTAACAGGGAGAGGATCAGAATAAGAGCATTTCTAGATGACAGGGAGAGTGACCACATACGTATAACTAATATATCCTATTTTTTTCACTGCTTATTACCACATAGAACATATTTTAAATGCACTAAGTAATCATACAGTGAAAGGACCTTCATTATTGCACCATTCATAACATTTGAGATTTACTGGCACATATAGGATATTTGGCTTGTTGTAAATCTTCCTATTAGTCTTTCATTTTCATGTTAGGAAACCTCACAATTCCCTTAAGAAAGTTGGAGATCCAAAAAAAACCCATAAAGATGGATCAGATAAGTCTTTGAAGAAAAAAGTTTGGTAAAACTTTGACCATGGATGAAAGTGGACAAGGAAGAAAACCCTAATAAAAATTTAAAGGCAGGGTAGGACCCAGCAACATTTATCTGTCTAGGTTCAATGTAATGCTGCACTTCTGAAATTCATAAGCAAAAGATGTTTTATGTTTTTGATGGAACTGTTGGACTTTGCAAGACATCAAAGGAGTAAGAATCAGCAAGGAATCCAACAGAAAGTCAGAAGTAGGTTTCTGTTGCAACACGTTTATTGCCAACATCGTTTTGGTACAATCCATCACTGCGTATCTTGCTGGTCCTGAGATAACAGAATCTTGGTTACCAAATAAACCTTTGAGCTACAATTGAACACTGCTCTGGGTTGAAAGACTGATCTTTAAAAAAAAAAACAATTTATGTGATGTGTTTGCTTAGCAGAAAATATCCATGTAGATCAGAGTATCTTTTTTTCAACTTAAAGTGCTGAAAACATTTTCAGGTTTGAAAATCATTCTTATTCTCAGTTTTGGTATCATTTCCTCAGTCCCAATTACGGTATATAACTATCCATTCTCTGTATGGTTTCTTCCCCCAGGTTTCTTGACATCAACAGAGCACTGTAAGAGCACCTTCTCCACTTCCTGTGTGCTGATGGGCAAAGTTCAGAGGTTACCTCATCATGAAAAATGGGACAATCCACTTTCTCAGCATGGATTCATCCAGACAAATCAGGGCCCATCTCACCTGTATTTCCTCTTGTGCCGGCACATTGGATGCAGAGTCTACTGAAACAAGCATCTTTGTGTTGTACATACGAAAGTAACTTTTCTTCCCTCTCCCCAAAACCTATTTATAGTTTATGTTGCGTATTTTGACTTGAAATGCATTCTTCAGTAGATTTTATTTTCCCCTATGTCAACAGAAGATTTGCATCTTGGTACCCAGGAATCAGCAGACCTTTCATATCTGGGGGAATTATGGCCACTTTGAGACATATGAGTGTAACAGACTGAGGTACTTGCTAAATGTCTGCGATGCTGTGCTATATTTAAAAAAAAAAAACATTTTCTTAGACTTCTTCCTTTCCGTTGTTTCTCCTCCTCTGATCCCAAGAAGATGAGATGGTGCTACGATATACAATTGGATCTTCACTGCTATGGTTATAGAGGGAAGTATTCATTAAAAGGACTGGCCATATTTCTATAAGGCACTCCTCACAAAGGAGTAAAATGAAATAACCAGGTTAAAAAAAACCTGGTCAAAAATGTGTTGAATTGCAATCTCCCCCATTTGTGTCTTAGCATCTTAATTAAGTCCCCTTTCTCATGGCATCTGCCCCATCACCAGTTGAGAATAATTCTTACTCATCAGTAACTGGGGCAAATTCAAAATAAGCATAATTTATTTAATTATACTTCATTATGTATCACCATGGGTTCATTTTGGCCTGAAGTAGTATTCTGGGAGTTGAGCTTTTATATCCAACTTTCTGATTGTTATGTCCTGAGATCAAATTGATAATCCATCAGATGGGTTGCCTTGGGAATTTCTGTGCCACTTGTTTTTCTAAGTCATAGACTGAAAAAAGGCATCTAAAGTAGATTTCTTCTTGATTATGGTACTTCATGGAACATTGATCCCTTAAAGACATGTTACTATATATAGGGATCAGGATCAAAATTGTACCCAAGTAGCAATTTCTCCCACTTATAAATTTAGTATCATTATAAACAAGAACTATAGATTACCATTTTCAGCATTGATATTGGTAAAGCCCAGTTGTGATTGACAGTTCTGAGAAAAACACACAAGATCCAAGTAGAACTTTTTCCTTCAGGCTCAGCTCCATTCCTCAAACACTGGGTCCTAAAAATAATTAAAAGGCTCTGGAGAAGTACTAGATCATAGTGATCAATGACTTGAAAATTAGTTCTATACAAACAACTCCACATTGCTTGTGCATGACCATCTGTAAATATGAAAAGACTTGGATTCATTTTCATGCCAACCTTATTTTTCGTTACAGTGTAAATTGAATCTTTTGTTTCAAGAACTTTTTCCTCTGTAATAAATTTCCACAATTTGTGATGTCAAAAAAAAAAAAATGTAAGGAAATAAAATTCTAACTTTATTAGTCAAAGTGGTCTCTAACCTTCCTGTTTTCATAGTTGCGCTGCTTCTTTTTACAAAGATGCTGAGTGGCGATAACCAGTGTACTTGTTAGTAGGAGGTTTAAGGAGGTGCGAACATTCTGCAAATCTTCAAAAATTATCAAATCACAATATGCCATTCCTGGAGGAGCAATCTCATATGTATGGAAATATGCAAAGATTTGTTCTGAGACACAAACATACAAATATAATGGAACACAACAAGATTCTAGGCTTATATTTCAAGGAATTACCTAAAGGGTTTTGGATATAATACACTAGCAACAAAATACAATTGTTTAGGATAATTCAGTGGACATCTTTGTGACGAATATGCAGACCTTTGAATGCTCCAATGTGGTATTTGTGGATTCCTGATCACTAGTATGAAGAAAGGGTTCAAATTTGCTCTGCTTCTAGACAGGCATCCTTCTCCAGGATGGGCCTATGCTGAGATGAACCCAACTTGACGGTGCAATGTTTGGGAAGGTCTCAAAGGTCTTTTCCTCCCCACCTCCCAAAAAAGCAACTGGGCTGTGTTCCTCGAGGAAGAAGATTTCTCCTCCAAGAAACTTCTTCAATTGTTATTGGGGGGAGGGAGGGAATGGAAGGATAAATATTGAGGGTTGAGACAGGAAGGATAGGTTCTGATCAGATGGTGGGGTTGGAGGGAGAGACGGAAGGGTTGTATTTCTTTGCAATCATCCTGTCGCTAGCACTCTCTTGCCCTCGGGATCACCTGTGGTCAAAGTGCAAATGGAAGTGGAATCTTCTTGGAATTGCTGCAGGGGGCTGTGTTGTAGGCTGGATATAGGGGGTGTCTTATCCCACCTCCTCTGTTGAGGGAGGGCTGCTCAGAGTTAATATAAATGAACCCTCTTTCAAACCATTAATCCTCTCTATTTGAAATGTGTTTGGGAATGATGAAAGTGGCCTAATACTTGGATGGTATCCAACTGGCAAAAACTCATCAAATTCCTATCTTGATAGTAAAATGGAAAAATCCCACCCACCCACCTCCAACAGCATACTAAAATAAAAAGTGAGGAAGGATTCCTGAACTTGAACAAGAAGAATGGGGCCAGTCAAGTTACCTTATTAAAAATACACCGTTGATTTATTACAAGTGCTTCCAACCTACTGCCTCCATATGGATCTCACTGCAATTCACATCAGTCAATGAAGATTATGCCTCTTAATGTATTTCTAGACTAGCCTAAAGGTGTCCTATGTAAGTGGATGCAGAGGCAAAGCAAGATAATGACAAGTTTGGGAACCTTTATTGCTCCGTTGTAAGTATTTTGACAAGGCATGTGTTCAGACAGAGAGCCATTAAGGCCCGGAAGTGCAGAGAGTTTTTAACTCCCTTTAACATGAGTAGTTCTCAAGTTGAGAGCAGGAACTATTCAGAGGCAGGAACATGAAAGTAGTTCAAAGCAATCCAAAGATCTAGAACGAGTCAGTTCTACAAACGGGTCCACGAGTCAAAACAGAAAGTCTGAACGAGCAGGGCAATTGAGCAAAGGGGACAGGCTGCCACAAGAACATAGGTCCAAAGCAGAAGAGTGTGGTAAGACCACACTTGGAATAATGCATCCAATTTTGGTTGCCACAATGTAAAAAAGATGTTGAGAGTCTAGAAAGAGTACGGAGAAGTAATAAGATTGGGACTGGGTTAGGGTCTTCTGTCCTCACTG